AATCACTTGAGGACTATCAACAGCAGAAGCAACTAAAATGGATAGCACATGTAACCCGAAGAGAAAATACTGACATATCAAAATGTTGACATTCCACACTACTTCAAATAAAATGTTAGGAAGGAAACCCCCCATAAATACTTGAAAGAGCGATAACTGCTACTGGACTTGAGAAACCTATTTTCTTTTAAGAGAAAGATTTTATAAATTTTAACCGACAGCAGTATTAACTGCTCGGTCAATGAATGACGAATGTTTTCTTATAAGGAAATGGTTAGTATTACCATTACCATGGATGTTGAATAAAATAACGTATACACATTTTAATTGGAAAATCTCACCGCCTTATTTTAGCTTCCCTGTGCCTTTCTATAAATATTTTCATGGTATTTGTTCTAATGACCTTTCCTCTATGATACGAAGACGTTATGAATTTAAGCGCAGTACTAGATTGGCGGCAAGGTCTCATTATTTTACAGTTGAAACGTGTAGATTTAACCGTAAATTCTATGCTAACAGTTTCTTCTATCGCATATGTCGTTTGTCGTTTGACTCATTTCCGCCTTCTTGTTTCCCAAAATGCAATGCCAATCGCTATGTTCTCAATTCTTGTTCTTCTAATGATCTCTCTCCATAATAGTGTTTTTTGTCATATTCTCAAACACTCAGTAACCCTTTGCGCATTAGCGTCTTTATTGCCTTACTCGGAGGTAAATGATAAAAAATAGCAATTATTGCATTTACTATTTCAATCCTGACCAGGCATCTCGACTTCAGTCACTTTCCTACCGAATTGATGTGGCTTCCCTCTGCCCTTTCTACAAACAAGTTTTTTTCTTGATACCCCGAATACATGAATTTAAGTTTGCTACTAGACTGGCATTTCGGCCCCACCCTTTTAATGTTAAAATAGATAAATGCAACCTCCATTCCTAATCCAACAGTTTCTATTCTCGCACTTCTCACCTGTGAAACTCCCTTCTCTTTACTTGCTCCCCTGATAACTAGAATCTTCAAAAATTTAAATGCAACATCAATCGGCATCTTGTGTCTTCTTGAATCCCGTTCATCTTTTGTCCTTTCCTCAATCCTTTCTATTCTAAGTCTTCTCTTTCACTTTTACTCCTTGTAACGGTATATGCTTTCAGTACGACATGCTTATTATTTTTCAAATTATGTTTTTTGCGGCATGTTTATTCAAAAAGTCTCTGGTTGTTAAAATATTAAATATAACATAAGTTGCAAAAATTCTCACCGGCATGACTATTCAGATGATACTTTTATTTGGTAGAAAAGGAGTGCAATTACATATAGATAATTCAAATATTTCAACCTTTGTTTCCTGTTTAATATTGGGTTTCCGGTTTCTTCCAAAGTCTACTTCAACTCTATAGTCCTAACGTCTCCGCTTGAACTCTGAACTTTTATTTGCTAATTAAATCTTAACTTCTTCAAGTCTAGAATTAGCTGGCTATCTTTCTTGTTACAGTGTCCTTTCTTACGTTAATACAACTCCACACAGTAACCCACTACCTTGAGTGGCCCTTAGGCCTTGTATTGGGTGAAATGTAATAAACAAACACGAGTGAGTAAAAAATAATCTAACTTGTTTTATTACATAACAAATAAGCAACACAATCAAACATATCGTACATCAAGATATAGCTATACATCACAGGTTCACATCCCGACTTTTAATGGCAGTGTTCCACCTACGAATGAGGGTATCCCAGCTTCGTAAAACTCAGCTAGCTGCTGATGTAGCCAATTCCTTACATCAATTTACACTTATTCATCACCAGCATAACGTTTGCCTCTCACTGCCTCCTTTTCATGGAAGTATTTTGTGAATGTTTACAGGAGTTTCTTCGGCAACAAAGAACTCGATTATTGATCTTTGCTTCTGACGGACTTCCAGAGGGGAAGCCGTTTTTGTATCAGCTCATTTATTTATATATCTGAAAAAGAAGATAATTAAAGATCAAATATGTATATGCCTTGATCTCTGAACCAATTCTCGAACAATTTATTTGAGAAAATGCGCCTTCTACGACAAAAAATGTAGTACTTTTTGACTCACCCTCATAGCAAGATATGTTTAATCCCTTAAATGCTTTTCAAATCTTCAATGTTCCATCTTGTTGTAAGCGTTACATTGCTTTCGTATACATCCCTATTTATTTACAAAAAGTGAAACTGACATCTACCGGCCTAGATCATATGCTGAAAGGTGCATTTTCTTCAATAAGATTTTCGATTTACGCTATTTACATTCTTCGGAGAGTTGTCCTCGTGTTCGTTGCCATATTAAGGACGCCTCGGTCGTTGTACGCCCCGGCCTATCTCAGGTGACATACGCTGGAATTTCGAAGCGAACCCTTTATTTTGTTCACAGGGGTAGATTGTTCTCATTCCGCATGCGATGCCTTTGGATATCTCAGTTTCCGTTAATCTCTCTTGATAACTCTCCAAGTTTTTGTTCTCTTTGCTGTGGCCAGCTATTGAATTCACAATTCTTTGGGTGAAGTCACATGGCCCAGTAAATAAAAGCGTTGTTTGAGTGATCGAAAAGTGACTTACTAAATAAAGAGTAAGATCCACGTGTGCCAAATACGACTTGCGTCATAATTCATTCATGACCTTTGGAACAGTGTTTATTTGGTACGGCACGCTAATTATATTTCAGGTAATTTTCTCCGCGGCACGTTTCATTTTTTTTTTTTAAGCGTTTCACCCCAAGCAAGGCGGGAAGCCACTAGCATGCAAGGGGTTACAGATAGTTGAAGCGAGAGCAAATAGGAGTGATAGAAGAAGGATGAAGAGAAGGGTAGGGGATAGATCAAGGCATCTGTAGACGTCGATTGACATTACATTTGAATAGTTGGAGATTATAGCTATCAGGGAAACAGGAAAATGGGAGAGAGTTCCATAGGCGAGAGGTGCGAGACATGAAGCTATTGGAGTAGAAGAGACGGCTACATTTAACAGTTTCGACAGTGAAAGGGTGAGAGCGAGATGCCAGCCTAGTAGAACGCTTAAATTCATGAAGTCTGGGAACCAGCGAAAGAAGCTCATCGAAGCAGTTACCGTGAAAGTATTTGTAAAAAAGACAGAGGAAGGCGACGGCACGTCTGTGAGAGAGCGACTGCAGACGAGATACCAGATCAGGGCCAATTACATTGCATATCCGTCTCTTGTTTCAGGAATAATAATAATAATAAAAAAACGACTTATTTGAAAAGTTAAAAAAATTCTCACTAGCATGACTATTCCCGATGACATTTGAATTTGGTACCTGAGAGTATGTAAGCAAAGTAATAAAGTGACTAAAATGCAAAGGAGTTACTAAGTATTACAGAATATGAGAAAAAGAAAAAACACTATTAAGGAGAGAAAAGAATAAAAGAACGGGAATTAAGAACGATTGAAATTGCATTTATTTGGCTGGGAAGCAGGAAGCCGAAGGAAAGAGTTTCACAAGCGAGAGGTGCGACAGAAGAAACTGTTAGCATAGAACATACAGCTAAATATAACCATTTCAATTATAAAATGATCAGACCTTGTCATCAATCTAGTACAGCGCTTGGATTCATAAAGTTTAGGTATCATACAGAAAAAACAATTTTCATGGAAGTATAGGGTGTTCCAATAACTTGGACCGATTTTAAATGTGAATTAAATTTAAGCCTTTCAGATTTAACAACTTAAGTCTTCAACCATAGAAAGATTAACAATCAAACAACGTGTTAAAATTATCGAAGCCTATTACGAAAATGGACTTTCAAATTAATAAATATACGACCCAATGATTCCGCTAGCAAAAAATGCACACCAGTGTCCTTTTGTGGATGCAGTGGCATTTCAACAATCTTTCTTGGATTTTCATCAGTCCAAATGCGACAATTTTGCTTATAAACGAATCCACCAAGATGAAAATGGACTTCATCACTAAAGAGGCTTGTCTTTGCTCATGCACCCAATTGACGAATGTCCGGCGCTCCAAATGGTCAGCAGATTTCAGTTCTTGTGTTAATTGAATTTTGTAAGCGTGTAAAGACAAATCTTTTGTCAAAATTTGATGTAACGCTGTTGTGGAGAGGTTCAATTCCTGCATGCGATGACGAATAGAGGTGTCTGGATTTTCGGCCACATTCTCATGCACTGCAGCAATGTTTTCAGCTGAACGGCGTAAACAAACACACAATGGTATTTTCACATTTGCCATCGATCCAGTTTGTTTGAATTTACAAACAATTTTTCCAATTACACTCCCGGTTGGTCGATTATGTTGAGCCCAAAAATCGCGAACTGCGCGAAATACATTTCTGTTTAAACGTCCATTATTGTAATAGGCTTCGATAACTTTAAGACGTTGTTTGATTGTTAATCTTTCCATGGTTGAAATTGCCAAAGTCTTAAGTTGTTAAATCTGAAAGAAAAATAAAAAAATCATTAGACTTTTAAACTTAATTCACATAATAAAATCGGTCCAAGTTATTGGAACACCCAATATTTATAGAAAAGGCACGGGGAAGCTACATTACGGTGGTGGGAAATTCACTGACTGCAAGATGCCAGAACAGGACTAATAACATTGTAGATTCTTCTTTGGATTCTATCAAGAATCTCTAAATATATAACAGGAGCACCAAGCCAGATGTGGCAGCAATATTCAAAGCAAGATGGACTTATAAATATGTAAGATAGATTCTTATTTTATTATATGCATATTTCTTATGAGAGTTGGCGCAAGAGTTCATGGGCGGGCACCTTTCTTAAAATACAAGTGAAGGCATAATTAAATCATTTTGTCAGTCTCCCCAGACACAGTGCTTATTTGGTACAGTAAGCGTATAATTCTTTTAATTAATTTTCTCGGCGACATGTTTATTTCGTTCCACGAATAATAAAAAAAAGCCCGCTGACATCACTATTGCAGACGCGATTTGTATTTGGTAGACAAGTGTATTCGATCATCTCCCTCCAATTAGGCCTTAGGCTTACGGCCATATCACGTTAAAACACCGGTTCTCGTACAATCGCCGAAGTTAAGCAAATTCGAGTACCTAGATGGGTAACCGCTCGAGAATACTAGGTGCTGTGACCTTGGACGTGCAGGTGGTGCAATGGATAATGACTCAGAATTGTTAATCGGAGAGCTAGGTTCTAATTCCAGTTGAGCTGTTTATATTTAATTATGCGCAAATGATCTTGGGAAAGGTATTAATCTGAAGCTATGGGTTATATTAGTATGACTTGTATCGCTATATAATTATTACCTTCAAAAAGAAAAGAAAAATTTTTATAATCCAAAAATATTTTCTGGCTTTAAATAACCTGCAAGAGGTTGATAAACTGTTAAAAATCAATCAATCCACTTAACCTTCCATGCATGCACATACATCGGATTTACTACTGCGTAGCAAAATTACAGGAAAAAAACGAGTGTCCATCAATATGGAAAGCTATTGTCGTCGGCAAAAGGAAGTGAGCGACAAATTTTCGATAAAGGATGTTGGAAAATCCCTGTTATGGATCAGGGAGCCTAATCTGGTGATATGTTCATCAATTATCTAAAATGAAAGCAGCAAAGAGAGTTAGAATTTCAATCGAGCCTTCTCATGTTTTCCCAATGTTAATAACTTTGGGAATGGTCATGTATCCAGCCGGTTACTCTCATCGCCAAAAACCTTGAAAAAGTTTTTCTTTTGAAACGCGGTATTATCGCATTTACTGTGTCCGTGTTCTAATCACATTGCGCGCGAGTCGAGATGCGGAGCGAAATTGAAGATATTTAACAACGAACAATATCCACTGATGCACCCTGATCTTGATAACGACCGGAAACATGGGAGAAAGCACTTGAACAATATTTACATTCAGATATACATTCTCGAGAATTAGAAAAAAAAAAAAAAAAAAAGTTACCTAAAATCACCTTTATTATGGTATTAATACTAGTATAAATGAACAACTGTCATATAAACACACATGTATACACACGCACACAGATACACACACACGCATACGCTCGTGCGCGCACACATACACATCATAGTTTGATACGAAGCCCCAATATTACGGAAGCCATAACGTAGCTTCTTTGTCATTTTTTATAAATATTTTCCTGATAATTGTTCTGAAGAACTTCGTTATTTGGTACCTCAGTTTCAGTGCAGTACTAGATTAGCAACTAGGTCCCATCATTTTAAAGTTGAAATTGATAGATGTAACCATAGTTCCTATGATAGCAATTTCTTCTTTCGTACTTCTCGCTTGTGAGGCTCACTTGTGGTCTCTTGTTTTCCAGTTAAGTTTAATCTCCAAAAATTTAAATGTAATGTCATTATTAATTTCAGTTTTCTTAATTCCTGGGCTTTTATTCGCTTTAATAACGATATTTCTCAAATTCATTCACTCGTATTAATGTCTTGTGTCTTAGTTGTTTTATCGCCTTGCTTTGCGTGAAATGATTCTGGGCATTATTAATGAGTTTTATCCACTATAGTTTAAAAAGTGCAATCTACCGTTATTTGCTAAGTTTACATTACACTCTGAGCGCGTGGACGAGTAGTTAGAAGATTCGTTTTCCTGTCATGAGACCCGGGTTCGAATCTTAACATTGTCGATTTCTTGACGCTATCGGCCTGGAGTGGCAGTCCCAATGTGCGGTGCCTTTGGAAAATGCCTGAAAACCATACCACGGATTGAGCCAAGCCTTGTGAGTGAAGTTGGGTAGATAGGACTGTTCGTCAATGGTTATGCTAGCACGAAACCATAAGTCATCGTGACCGATGGTTTCAATGTACTCCCCGTGTTCAAAATGTTGATCACGTCAGATGATGCGGTCTCTCTCACAAAACTGTAACCAAGACCCACACAGCACAGTTGCATTATAAGCCACATGTAGGCCCTGTGGGTGTTGAAGAAACGCAAATATGCCTGAGCAGTCGTCTGCAACAGGGAAAATTTACTGGTAGTATGAGGTACCAGAGCAGAGGGCAGCATGGGAAATAGAATAGAAAAACCAAGTTTAATTTTCAGTCGAAGCTATTGTTGCTCTCGTAGCTTTAATGCCACAGGGGTGGGGACAGGGAGCAAATTACGATCTACAAACATCCTGCTCCGATTAACGCCAGAAAACATACATTCTTTTTATTTTAACTTCCGTGACTTTCTTTTTTTTTTCCAAGAATCTTTGAGTATTTCCAAGAAATGAAACGATATCTTTCCTTGCTTGCGCATGCGCATACCGGTGGTCATTTTGTACGCAGAATCATAATTGTCTGTAACTGGGTTAACACCAGCCACCATATTTATAAATACATAAATAGTCAGTGAATAAATATTCACTATGCTAAGCATAGCCTGGCACAAGGCCATAAAAATTGTTGATAAGTAGGTATAACTGAATGTAGAATGATTTCAGCGTGTCCATTTATTTGCTTTAATAGAGACATCAGGAATGAATGCGTCTAAAGTGAGTGCAGCTTTATATTCGAAGAAAAAAATGACGATCAAGATTGAAATATCGAAATTTATGGTGTGGTGCTTTTCAATTCGTGCTGCGTGTGGAGTCAGGGTTGACTGAAGGGCAAGCAAGCTTGCATTCTGACCTGAAATTGAGCACGACTCATATTTTTTGCTTATGACCTTTGTACAGGTGTGGTAGAAATGCTGCTCACATATACCACCCGAAAACACGTCCCATTTAATGGTAAGACATTAGTGGCAATGGTGCCTTTATCAAGACCTCCCAGAAACACCTCCCACATAATGGTTAGATATCAGTAGCAATGGTGCCTTCATCTAGGTAATAATTCACAGAAACACCTCACACATATTGGTAAGGCATTAGTGGCAATCGTGTTTTCATTTAGCTAATACCTCACAGAAACACTACCCACATACTGGTAAGACATTTGTGGCAATGGTGTCTTCATTTAGCTCTTAGAAACACTACCGACATACTGGTAAGACATTTGTGGCAATGGTGTCTTCATTTAGCTCTCAGAAACACTACCCACATACTGGTAAGACATTTGTGGCAATGGTGTCTTCATTTAGCTAATACCTTAGAAACACTACCCACATACTGGTAAGACATTTGTGGCAATGGTGTCTTCATTTAGCTCTTAGAAACACTACCCACATACTGGTAAGACATTTGTGGCAATGGTGTCTTCATTTAGCTCTTAGAAACACTACCCACATACTGGTAAGACATTTGTGGCAATGGTGTCTTCATTTAGCTAATACCTCTCAGAAACACTACCCACATACTGGTAAGACATTTGTGGCAAGGGTGTCTTCATTTAGCTAATCTTAGAAACACTACCCACATACTGGTAAGACATTTGTGGCAATGGTGTCTTCATTTAGCTAATACCTCTCAGAAACACTACCCACATACTGGTAAGACATTTGTGGCAATGGTGTCTTCATTTAGCTAATACCTAGAAACACTACCGACATACTGGTAAGACATTTGTGGCAATGGTGTCTTCATTTAGCTCTTAGAAACACTACTGACATACTGGTAAGACATTTGTGGCAATGGTGTATTCATTTAGCTCTTAGAAACACTACCCACATACTGGTAAGACATTTGTGGCAATGGTGTCTTCATTTAGCTCTTAGAAACACTACCCACATACTGGTAAGACATTTGTGGCAATGGTGTCTTCATTTAGCTCTTAGAAACACTACCCACATACTGGTAAGACATTTGTGGCAATGGTGTCTTCATTTAGCTCTTAGAAACACTACCCACATACTGGTAAGACATTTGTGGCAATGGTGTCTTCATTTAGCTAATACCTCTCAGAAACACTACCCACATACTGGTAAGACATTTGTGGCAATGGTGTCTTCATTTAGCTAATACCTCTCAGAAACACTACCCACATACTGGTAAGACATTTGTGGCAATGGTGTCTTCATTTAGCTCTTAGAAACACTACCGACATACTGGTAAGACATTTGTGGCAATGGTGTCTTCATTTAGCTCTTAGAAACACTACCGACATACTGGTAAGACATTTGTGGCAATGGTGTCTTCATTTAGCTCTTAGAAACACTACCCACATACTGGTAAGACATTTGTGGCAAATTTAGCTCTAGAAACACTACCCACATACTGGTAAGACATTTGTGGCAATGGTGTCTTCATTTAGCTAATACCTCTCAGAAACACTACCCACATACTGGTAAGACATTTGTGGCAAGGGTGTGTCATTTCATTTACCTCTCAGAAACACTACCCACATACTGGTAAGACATTTGTGGCAATGGTGTCTTCATTTAGCTCTTAGAAACACTACCGACATACTGGTAAGACATTTGTGGCAATGGTGTCTTCATTTAGCTCTTAGAAACACTACCGACATACTGGTAAGACATTTGTGGCAATGGTGTCTTCATTTAGCTCTTAGAAACACTACTGACATACTGGTAAGACATTTGTGGCAATGGTGTCTTCATTTAGCTCTTAGAAACACTACCGACATACTGGTAAGACATTTGTGGCAATGGTGTCTTCATTTAGCTCTTAGAAACACTACCCACATACTGGTAAGACATTTGTGGCAATGGTGTCTTCATTTAGCTAATACCTCTCAGAAACACTACCCACATACTGGTAAGACATTTGTGGCAATGGTGTCTTCATTTATTTACCTCTTAGAAACACTACCGACATACTGGTAAGACATTTGTGGCAATGGTGTCTTCATTTAGCTCTTAGAAACACTACCGACATACTGGTAAGACATTTGTGGCAATGGTGTCTTCATTTAGCTCTTAGAAACACTACCCACATACTGGTAAGACATTTGTGGCAATGGTGTCTTCATTTAGCTCTTAGAAACACTACCCACATACTGGTAAGACATTTGCAATGGTGTGTCTTCATTTAGCTCTTAGAAACACTACCCACATACTGGTAAGACATTTGTGGCAATGGTGTCTTCATTTTTACCTCTCAGAAACACTACCCACATACTGGTAAGACATTTGTGGCAATGGTGTCTTCATTTAGCTAATACCTCTCAGAAACACTACCCACATACTGGTAAGACATTTGTGGCAATGGTGTCTTCATTTAGCTCTTAGAAACACTACCGACATACTGGTAAGACATTTTGGTGGCAATGGTGTCCATTTAGCTCTCAGAAACACTACCCACATACTGGTAAGACATTTGTGGCAATGGTGTCTTCATTTAGCTCTTAGAAACACTACCCACATACTGGTAAGACATTTGTGGCAATGGTGTCTTCATTTAGCTCTTAGAAACACTACCCACATACTGGTAAGACATTTGTGGCAATGGTGTCTTCATTTAGCTAATCTTCAGAAACACTACCCACATACTGGTAAGACATTTGTGGCAATGGTGTCTTCATTTAGCTAATACCTCTCAGAAACACTACCCACATACTGGTAAGACATTTGTGGCAATGGTGTCTTCATTTAGCTCTTAGAAACACTACCGACATACTGGTAAGACATTTGTGGCAATGGTGTCTTCATTTAGCTCTTAGAAACACTACTGACATACTGGTAAGACATTTGTGGCAATGGTGACATTTAGCTCTTAGTGACATACTGGTAAGACATTTGTCAATGGTTAGCTCATTTAGCTCTTAGAAACACTACTGACATACTGGTAAGACATTTGTGGCAATGGTGTCTTCATTTAGCTCTTAGAAACACTACCCACATACTGGTAAGACATTTGTGGCAATGGTGTCTTCATTTAGCTAATACCTCTCAGAAACACTACCCACATACTGGTAAGACATTTGTGGCAATGGTGTCTTCATTTAGCTAATACCTCTCAGAAACACTACCCACATACTGGTAAGACATTTGTGACAATAGTGTCTTCATACAACTAATAACTCCAAGAGACACCTCATAGAAACACCTCCTATATAATGATAAAGTATTAGTGTCAATGATGTCTTAATCTAGCAAATAACTCCCAGAAACACCTCTCACATAATGGTAAGAATGGTTAGAATGGTTTCTTCAACTAGCTAATATCTCACAGAAAAAAAAACTCCCAAATAATAAGACATTAGTGGCAATGGTGTCTTCCTCTTGCAAATACCTCCCAGAAAAAACTCACAAATAATAAGATAGTAGCAATTGCCTTTATTTAGCTAATACCTATCAGAAAAACCTGCCACATAATGGTAACACATTAGTGGAAATGGTGTCTTCATCTTCATTTACCCAATACCACCCCAGAAACATCTCCCACGTAATGCTAAGACATCAGTGGCAATATCTTACCATTATGAAGGAGATAGTTCTGGGAGATATATCTGGCATGTATTTCTGCCGCAATCTCTGTCAAAGAGAAATGGGAATCGACCATAAAGGTCGAAGAATTTGATGAAGGCAAACAAACTGAATGTAGTAAGGCCTTTTGCCTAGAATCATTAGAAAAAACCTCTAGGATCATTGTGTACACCCATGGGAACTAATAGCCATTTTTTAAATTATTATTCTTGTTGAATTCTCCTACAGCAGCCCGTATGCGAAAAAATAATTATGTATACATAGATTGCCTTTTCTGTGCAGGTTATGTCAGAAGCAATTGCTATGAAATTCCGTTCTTAGTGGATACGTTTTTGCTGTCGCCCTGCGTAAGGGTAAACCCACCTTATCGGATTGCTTGATCGTCCAAATGATTATGAGCTGTCTGAGGTGATATGGTTCAGATAATAGTTCATATGTCGACTGTTCAATGGTTACGCAACAAAAACTAATGATGCCATGCAATCTTCGTACCATTAAGTATATTTATGTACTTGTAAAATTCTTAATACTTTAATAGGATTAACCAACCCATTATATTCAGCATTGTTCAGATATGTCTATCTACCTATCTTAGTCTGTTCATATCTATCTATCTATCTATCTATCTATCTATCTATCTATCTATCTAAGGACAAAGGATAAAAAGGGATAAGAGGAATGAGCACAAGGTTGGAGGGCAGAAGTCTAGAGGACATTTAGATGGAATAAATGAGATGCAGACCAAAAGAGGAAACTGGAAGATTGAAAGAGAGAGAAAGAGAAAATAAATGATATATAGGAAGGGAGTAGCAGAACGGATAAGAGAGAGAGAGAGAGAGAGAGGGAGAGAGAGAGAGAGAGGGAGAGAGGGGGAGAGAGAGGGAGAGAGGGGGAGAGAGAGAGAAATGAATGATAGATATAGAGTAGCAGAACGGATAAGAATGAGAAAGAGAGAGAATGAATGATAGATAGATAGGGAGTAGCAGAACGAATAAAAACGATATATATAAGAGAGAGAGAGAAAGAGAGAAAGAGAAAGGAGAAGAGAGTACAAAATATTTGAAGAGAGAGTGTTATGAAAGAAACAGCATGGGCATATATGTCCCAGTGTTAGGGAGAATGTTATTGAAAGAAAGCGGTGAGCAAAAGAAAGAGTGAAAGAGAGAGACAATTATTAAGAAGGTAACAAGAAAAAGGGAAAGAAATGGAAAAGAAAAGAAAGAAAGAAAGAAAGAAAGACAGAAAGAAAGACAGAAAGAAAGAAAAAAACGAGAGAAGGAAAGAAAGAGAAAGTGAGAAGGAAAACAAAAAAAAAAGAGAGAAAGAGAGAGCGTAAAAAATAAAAAAAGGCCAAGGCACAGATAAGGAGAGTTAAAGTGACAGACAGCATATATCAGGAGAGGTTCGTTCGCAGACGCACATGTACGCACACGTGTGTACGCGTGTATACATGCGTACATGCACATTTGGTGCGTGTGCTTGGGTACACGAAGATAACTTGTACGTTTTTTTTTCACTCCCTGACAGCGACTGGGCCGGCCTGACCAATACTGCAAGTGGATATTAAGTGACCATTTTCCATTAAACATTTTTCCCCTCAACGTGAACTTTTTCTCTGTCTCTCTCTGTCTCTTCCGCGCATGTGCGTGCGCGCACGCGTGTGCGTTCACACACACACACACACACACACACACACACACACACACACACACACACACACACACACACACACACAAGGCCGAGGGACTAACTTCGCCATCTCTGTCTGCCTATCAGTTTTACACTGTCTAGTTCTTTCCCCGCAGACAGAGATAAGCCCCCTTTCTAATATGCGATATTTCCTTGGCAACCGCCGCTATTTATACTAAAGTTATGTTTGTGTTCATCTCTGTGTGTACGTGTTTTCGTTTCCAGGTATATGTGTATTTTTTACGGGTAATAATTGCTTTTCTATGCCCGTCTCTGCCTGGTTATGCGTGCATCCGTGTGAATAACCGCAACAGAATCGTTTTACCCAAACGTCTGCAGGCATATAGACATACCCACTCGACCCCCCCTACCCACCGCCACCATGTCTGCATCTATCTATCTATCTATCTATCTATCTATCTATCTATCTATCTATCTATCTATCTATCTATCTTAGTGCCTTCATATCAATCTCATTCTGTTCATATTGATTTATCCGTCCACTATATCAGATTTTATTATGTAAACCTATGTTTTCTCAATAAAATTTAGGCTTATGGCCACGTCACGGTTTTCGTACGATCACCGAAGTTAAGCGACGTCGAGCCAGATCATTACCTAAATGGGTGACTGCTTGGGAATACCAAGTACTGTAAGCTTGGATGTGCGAGTGGTGTAATGCATAATGGCTCTGAATTGTTTATCGGAGAGCCGAGTTCCAATTCCAGTTGGGTTTGTTGTATTCAATTATGCGCAAATAACCTTGGGGAAGATATTAATCACCTCTTCTACCCCAGCTATGGGTTAATTAGTAAAACTTGTATCACTAAATCATTATTATCTCCAAAAGCAAAAAATGTTTATAATCCAAAAATATTTTCTGGCTTTAAATTATCTGCAATGGGTTGATAATCCGTTGAAAACGTGAACAGTCAATAAAATTGATATTACCCATCCAATATTGATTTTTAAATTTTTTTTTCTATACTATTGTTCAATATAAGGCTCAGGAGCCACTCAGAGTGGAAGATTACTGAATGAGGCTGTGGTAAAGGGGTAAAAGGCGGTAGTGATCATTATGATTATATGTTGCATAGAAAACAGTTGACACTATACTTGAAGAGGTTAAGATCTTAGTGATCGGTGAAGAATCCTCCCCAGTGTCTGTTCGACAACGTTGTTGGAAAGAATCTTTCTTAGTGGCACTTCCTCCTTACCAATGGAATACGAAGATGATGATTCGACCCTGTTTACGTAGCTTGTTGGTCACAGATCTATAAAAATTTTAATTGATTTTTTGAACTAAAGAATGTATAGCCCGTTTGAATATTTGTCATGAAAATAAAGATAGAGTAGCGGGAAGCTAGCAACGTTTTGTCTTTGGAAAAGCAGTCGTAGGGTAGAAAATAATATATTACCCAGATGGCTGTGTAAGAATTTTCAAACTCTATCAAGGTTGAAAAGTGAGAATTGAGTAGCTTCAGTACAAATATGGCAGCAATATGATGATTGACTCTTTCGTGGAAGCAGTTAACCAACACGAATTAGATGACAACAAGTATTGTAAACAGTAAAATTATAGATCCCTTCAAAGTTGAAAATCGAATCAAGATAAATGTAGAGAACTATTATAAGTCCATAGACAAGGCGTCCTTTCAGGGGTACAGGTCACAGCCAAGAAGCTTTAAGCCGAAGACTATAGTCATGTAAGATATTGCAATTTTATATTCTTCAAAGTTGACTTTCAAAAATGGTTTCAAAGACACGAAATGGAATGGATCTCAGCTTCTCTAGATAATAATCGAATATAAGTGTTGATGTCTATCATTAAAGGAGATTTATACGAGAATCGAAAACACTATTCAAGCAAAGACCGTTGGAAGGCAATAAAATCTTCAACCAATGTTAAAATACGAGAAAGAATAAACAAAATCAATGGACGAGAGTCTGAAGAAGATTATAGAATGTCATGGAACCCATATTAACAAGTGAAATGATAAAATAATAATTTATTCAGGTATATAGAATATTGTGCTATCAAAAACATATTTCGCTGGACGATATATTTTGAATTGTAAATACAAATGTAAATTACATTTTGCATAATAAAAACTTACAACATCGGACAGAGTTATGAATATTTTTAATGATGGGAGATATTGTATGCTAAAATTCACCAAATATGTTATATGTATGTTAATAGTATAATTCCTCCGTGGAGTATAGGGTCCTAGTCTCACCTAGGTGTTGCTGCCGATGTTTCCATATCAAGGAGTTTTTTACGTAGAGAAGATGTTAGACTAACAACCAAATGGTTTTGGGTTCAGAGCTGTTCTAGACTAATTGCCAAGCAGAGTTACAGAGGGCAGTCTGACCTGCTATGAAGTCCTAGCTGGAGCGGTGAGGAGATGGATTCATAGCCCTACAGAGGTATTTTTTTGCGGAAGATTGATCAAAATCAGTTGGTTAATATCAATTTTTATTTTGAAGACACTGACTTGTATCATAAAAGCTGACATAGTGCAATAATTCATTAATCACACTAGCCCATTTTCTCACTATCTATCCCTAAGCGCACACACATGCGCGTGAAAGCACACACACATATATATATACACACATATATATATATATATATATATATATATATATATATATATATATATATATATAGTGGATATTGAGGTTAACACCAAACGGCGACAGTCTGCTCCATGATTAAACACAATCGTCAGGCCATGTGCGTTGTGTTTTGACTTGACTATTTATTATATATGTCGGACAGTGGTGCATAATGATTAGGTTTATTGTATTATTTTAATGGTTATTGGGTGGGACTATTGAGTGGAAATAATTGTGGATCCGAATACAGTTTTATGTTTGTTTTATTGTATTGTTTGTTAACTTTATTATGCATTGCTTTGTTATTTGTTGCACATTGTTATTATTACGTTTACTTATGTTTGTCTGTGCAGACGTAGTTTTGCTAATTTGTTTATTATTTACATAATTTATATTTATATTTACATACGCTCTATCCCTGATATCGAGCACTTAATAAATATAGTATACCATAAAAACAATATTTTCATCATATATATATATATATATATATATATATATATATATATATATATACACACACACACATATATATATATATATAAAAGAAGCGAGAGCAAGATCTAAAAGGTCAGCCAATCTAACAGTGATCTCATCTCACAATCCTCACACTTGCTCCATATGTGGTCTCTTTTGTAAATATTTGCGGATCTTAAATGCCACTTAAAATTATCGCACAAAATTTCATAACTGAATCAATAAGCTGTCAGATCCTCATACGTCGAATCCGACGGGAGAGTCCATTATTATTATATATAAGTGGACATTGAGTTCTACACCGAGTGGTAACAAACTGTTTCATACTTAAACGCCATCCTCAGGCCTGAAACAGATTCTCGTTGCTGGGTTTTGACGTCAATGTCCACTTTTACATTTACATACGCTCAATCCCTGATATTCAGCACTTTAACCAATAAATATAGCATATCTTAAAACTATGTTTTTATCACACACACACACACACACACACACACACACATATATATATATATATATATGTATGTATATATATATATATAGCTACAGCTCGTAACACATATAAGTGTGTCCTCTGTTTACTGAGAGAATGACGCACCGTATAGCCTCTAAAAACTTCGGCTCTAGTGACTATTGGCATCTCTGTAATAGAGTACTAAGTAAGTGCAAAGTCTCTACCCCCCCCCTCTTCAATTGATTTGAGGTGTTATCATCCTCTGTTGATAAAGCTGAATGCTTTGCCTGTAAATTCTCCTCAAACACTACTCTTGAATCTATAATGTTCTAGATAAAAACAGAGAATACCGCGCTGCAGCATTGTACATCTCGAAAGCCTTTGACAGGGTCTCGTATTCAGGTCTTCTCCATAAGCTGAAAAATTACGGTATCTCCGCGTATGTTTTTGAGCTGATTCAGTCCTTCCTATCAAATCGTGAAATGAAAGTCATCCTGAACGGCCATTCATCTACATTTTTTGTACTAACGCGCGTGTTCCCCAGGGCTCCATCCTTGGTCCTAGGTTGTTTTTAATCTTTATTAACGATATCCCGATGACAGCAACTGTCAACTTGGCATCTACGCTGACGACAATACCATTTACTTCTGCCTTGATAGTAAGGCTGATTAGTTAGAAAAGGTCAAAATGGCAGCTGATGTACAAAACGACCTCAAGACCCCCGTTAACTGGGGCAAGAAAGGCTCTTCATTAATTATCTGAGAGACACCTCTCTGCCTTCCATCAGCGTGGCTGATGCTATCCTCCAAGAAAGTGACAGATTGCGTATTCTCGGGCTAACGTTATCAACTGACATGAGGTAGAAAGACTACAATACGAGACTGGCGGCGAGATCTCATCAATTTACAACTGAGCTGGCTGGATGTAGCCGTAACTTCTCTGTTAACAGTTTCTTATCTCGCACTTCTCGCTTGTGGAACTCCCTCCCGGTTCCATGCTTTGCAGCCAACTTTAATCGGCAAAAATTTAAATGCAATGTCAATCGCTGTCTTCCTAAGTGCTCTTTTCTCTTTCTCCTCATTAATAATGTTTCTGCTCCTAATTCCTCCACATACTGCAACCCCTTGCGTGCTGTAGTACCTTCCTTGTGATAATAACGATTTATATATATATATATATATATATATATATATATATCAAAAAAAAAAAAAATTGAAATTCAGTGCAATACGATTTGTATATAAAACACCCACTTGAAAAAACAAATAAATAATCAGATAGACAATAATAAAAGACAATTCTCCAGACACATAACCATAAAAGTATCCCTCACTGGGAACCAACTAAAGGGTGACCGCAAACATTAGCCTTGAAATAGATACCCTACCCAACCTTAGCAAAACCTCTCAGAAGATGATGAATCTATTGATAAGAATTAACTCTCTGACCACTTAACGAAGGAAAATAGTCTAGCCACTCCCACAATAACGAATTCTGTAACGGACCATGCCTAAAAACACACGTAAACCGAGAGATAGTTATTCCTAAAATTTCGCTTGAAGATGAAACGGGACTAAACACCACAATTCAACTTAATTTTAATAATTATTTGGATGGTTTCGGCTCTCGTTTTTGAAACATGAGAACTCTTGTGTAGCGAAGAAATCATATTTTTAAACAAAAAATATTATTATAATAAAGCTCTACTTCTGTATGGAGCACTATCTTCTTAAAAATAAAAATAAAAATACTAAGGAACCCCGGATTATGCACCCAATGTGTTCTTTTCTATTTTCTGCATACCTGCGCACTTATATATATATAAATTGTATCTATTAAATAATGTATTAACCGAATATATATATATACATATAGTCTAACCTAGAGACCCAGACAAACCTACCAAGGTTTCACCTAAGCGGATCCTGGAGCCAGCTTTCCCTGACGACCCGCTTAGGTAAAACCTTGGTAGGTTTGTCTGGCTCTCTAGGTTTGACTAGGTCTGCTCTGCTTTTGCATTGAGCATTTTTTTAGTTAGTTGATTACTCGTATCGGGTTTTTTTCTTTGGGCTTTGGACCTGTATGTTGTACGATTATTTTTGAC